GATTACAGCGGATTAGGAGGACATTTAACCCCGACTGTCCACATCAGCTGATCCAGCTGATCCAGACCAGGATGGAGAAACAGCTGAAAGCAGAACTGAACCAGTGAAAAAAAACCAGTGGGGTCATTATCTCCAACCAGATGATCACTGCTCAGCTTTACATCTACTTAGGAAGATTATGATCACTAAAACATCTGGATTTATGCTAATAATCCCCTAAAACCAAGCGTCTCAACGTTAGCCAGGATTTCTTGGCTTGCTTTGGTCAGGATTTCTTCGTGTCATTTTCTCCGATTACGCCTCGATGGGACCGGATTGTTTCAGAGAAACAAGCTCAGGGCTCCACTAATTCAACGTAACGGTGAGTTTTATTTTGATGCTGTTTGTATTTGATTTTATGCCAGTCGTATCATTTTATTTGATGGTATTCTAGACGCTGCAGGACCTTTTGCTGCATCTTGATGCACATCACCCATTGACTTTTAATGGAAACCAGCTGCTGCTAGCAGAGCTAATGTAGCATAAAGGGACGTTCTGTAGTTTAATCGGGACTCCAGTCCATGGTGACCTCACAGTCCATGGTGACCTCACAGTCCATGGTGACCTCACAGTCCCGCCTCCTCCAGCAGCATCTAATCAACGTCTCACCATTTTATCAACCTGCATATTTCTAACTCTGCACTAAAAGCATCCAGTGAATAAACATGGTGACACATTGTGGTTGAAGAACAGTCTGTCTGTGGATGGATTCAGAGGAACAGAAGGATGGACTTCCTACCTTTACCAGGAAAAAGGAGACGCCGTAGGTTTGCAGAGACCTGGCAAGCTTGACGTAGCTGACTTTGGCCTCGATCTCCGTCATGTTCTGACAGTTTTTATGAGCCTGCAGAGGCAGGAGCAGCGCAGACTCATCAGGTGGCTGTCTTACCATCAGGTTTGTTTAACTCATGCAGGTAACAGAGTTAGAAACGCCCCAGAACAACTAAAGATGTCTCTTACCTGGAAGATTTTCCTCTCTCCTTTATTTTTGATGTATTCTTTGGGCAGGAACTCCTTTAAACTGAGGAGAAAGCAGATCAACCGTTTAGTTCATGCAGTCCTGACCGAGGGAGACGGTGAGAGGAACGGAAAGCAGAGCTTACTCCAGGAATCCAGGCTTGTGTTTGGACTCGTTGTGGTCGCCAAACTGAATCTGGCACTGATAGCCTGCGAACTCACAGGCCTTGTCAAACGAAACTGGATGTGATCCGTTTAGGATGTCATCGCGAGCCTGTAGCACAAACACAGAGGCTCATTTCACAAAAAACCTTTCCTCTGATGTCCTGATGCAGAGGCAGGCGGCTCCGGACCACACCAGAACCTATAGGTTCTCACTGAAGATCATGAAAAGCATGCGGTTACCTGCACATAGAGCAGATTAAGCTGGACGGGGTCTCTGGAGTCCACGTTCTGATCCGAGTAGAAGAACTTCCTCCTCAACAGCAACATCTCCGTCTCCTCTACACCCTGCTCCCTCAGCGTCCTCCCATGGTCCAACCAGTTCACTAACAAACCAAAGACAGTCGTATCATCAACAGTTCGGACCTCAGCAGGTCCAGACAGCAAAAGATGTCCTCCAGCATGTCGGGTTTGGAGCACAGAGCTCTGATTGCTCTGATCACAACTGTTGGGTCACCATTAGGCAATACTAGGCAGTTACCTAGGGCCCCAGGGTCCTGGGAGCCCATAAAACTCTGTTTACATGTTTGGTTAATACAGCTATTCCCACACTTATAATATTAATTAAGATTGAGTTAATGAAGTGTCCGCCTGCTGCTGGATCTCCAGAACCCTTCTGGTCCACCAGGTGGACTAACCCCTTTCATCAGAATGAGCAGCTTCTCCATCCTACACCTGATCTGAGCCGCTCAGCCTGCCTGATCCATACCAACCATCAGCGTTTGAAGGTTAATGTCGTCTTACACTCGTCGTCTGTGTGCAGCTTCTGCTTCAACTTCTCCATCTTCTTGTCGTCTCTTAGGAGAGTCTTGTCTCTCTTCAGCGTCCCTGTGTTTTCTTCTTTCTTCTCCTCCCCGATATCTCGGACCAACGAGTACTCGTCATAGTTGGTTATGCCTGGTAGAGAAAAACACCTCCCAGTTAGTTTGAGGAAGATGAAGATGAGGTGGAAGCAGGACGAAGATCACCCAAACAGGAACAGACCGATTCTGGCGCAGATGGTCATGAGCATGTCGCTGACGATTTTGGAGTCGTCCACCATCACGGTCTTCACCGTGCCGTCTAACATGCGGATCTTCAGAGGCCTCTGCTTCTTCTTGTACTCCAGGGTATCCTGTGGGGGAGGGGAAGGAAAGTGGTAAGGAGGCAGAGGAGAGAGGAGAGAGGAGAGGAGATCATTTCAAACATTCATCTCTTATTTTAGCAGCGTTTATTACAGCACAGACTGCTGACTGTGTGAGATGCTAACCTACGTAGGCGGGAGATGCTAACCTACCTGATGCAGGTAGCATCTCCAGCTAACCTGCATCAGGTAGGTTAGCACCTTCAGCTAACCTATCTGATGCAGGTAGCATCTCCAGCTAACCTGCATCAGGTAGGTTAGCACCTTCAGCTAACCTATCTGATGCAGGTAGCATCTCCAGCTAACCTGCATAAGGTAGGTTAGCACCTTCAGCTAACCTATCTGATGCA